GGTGACAAATTTTGTGAACTTGACGTTTATTCTGCGAACAGATTTATCCTATTATGTGTTATCCACATATTCATTAGATACTGAATTGCCTAATTCAATGTATTGATTTTGCTCCTAAATCTATATTAGACGATCCCCGTACAGCGTCTGGTAAAATGCAAGTTCCAAGATAATCTTGAATTTCTTCAATGGATGAAAAAATACTGGGATACCTATTACCCAGGGGGACCATACGATGCGTTGGGTAGAAGAGGTAACATGGCAGCCCAACCCAAATCTGTTACTGGTGGTGGCTCTAGTTCTGCAATTAGGACTGGAATGTCAAAGAGGCCTCAAGGAGCAGGTATGAGAGGTTTTTTTTGAACTATAGTAGAAGGGGGTCGTTTTTTACGTCATAAGGAGTTGCATCGGCCGGAAACAGTCGGAAAATATCATCGTAGAATAAGCCATATGTGAACCATGAGGAATATGTTACGTTGATTACTATGCTGGATAACAAGGAACTTTGGCGTTATTTTTTTAAACGACAAACGATCGCTATCATTTCTTCTTATCTGTGTCCCACTTGGGGAGGGATGGTTACGATTACTCTTATCTTAAGTGCGGCCATTATTTTAATTATGTATAACTTGAAATGTTAGTTTCAAAATTCCTGCTTACAGTTTTTCCCAATAACTAGGCCGAACTGGGGGAGCAAGCTTGCATGCACCCATACCAAGTTCTGGCCGTCTCTCTGCTTCAGGCATGAACGACCCTGTACAATCCAGTGCTGCCGTTCTTGAGTTAACTAAAAAGCTCGAGGAAGTCAATGCAACAGTCGATGGGTTGGAAAGAGAGAGAGATTTTTATTTTGGCAAGTTGAGGGATATTGAGATTCTCGTGCAACAACAGATCGAGGGCGATCCAGATAACGCTTTCTTGAAAGAGGTTCAGGATATCTTGTACAGCACGGAGGTAAGTATACGTGCGAAAGGAGCAATTGGCAATGCTACATGAAAATGGCATGTCATTGTATAATCGATTGACCGTTTCGTTTGTTATTTTCCAGGATGGATTTGAAGTGCCACCAGAGGCTGGAGGAGGCGAATTTGAAGATGAGACTTTCTAATGTCATGGCTACAACATTTTCTATATTTTCTGTATTTATGTAAAACAATAGAATTTACGTTTACAAAATCCCTCGCATGTGAAATTATAAAATTTAACCTTAACATTTCACACTCGATACTATTCCTAAATGGCCAGTTTACTAATTCTCCCATGAAGAGAAGAGTATAGTAGATTCTTCGTTCAAGAATGCATGTTTTTATACACGATAGTTCTTACTCTCGCCAAATAAACGCGTGGCATGGTAAATGATCAAACCTACTTAGAATCCAAAAGAAGACTCAGAGATTACATCACGTGAATTGATGGTAATTTCTTATGGTGGGATTTTTTTGCACGCAGCTGTAATTGTTGGGATAAGTAAACGTGGCATAAATATTATGATATACTTTGACGTAGTAATCTATACAGATGCGAAATATTTTCTTGGTATCCAATCATTTTGATGATTTCTTTTTTGCTGATCGCGCATAAAGACTATAATAATCATACTGCAACGTACACATACTGCAACATACACATACTGCAACATGCACATACCGCAACATCCGTGCTATAAACAATAGCTAATTTTATAACGCAGATGTTGTAGTATGTGTTGGTATAATTTTTATGGATGTAGCTTGCGATTTGAAGTTTGTAGCAAAAAGCACTTGAACGTTACACGCAATTGTATTGGCTAATATTCTACCCGAAATATGTCCCATAGTCAATCATCTAACGACACCTACAGAAACTGGTTAGCTAAGAGTATCCAGGAAGGGTACAACAAACACTATTCGGAAAGTGACATTCTAGATCGTAGACCTCTTAGCCGTGATGGATATGGTGTTGTATACAAATACAAAGCCAAGATGAAACATTCTGGAATACTAGTCGCAATAAAGTGTTTGTTTCAAGACAAATATGAAGGTGAAGAATAGTTGTATAAAGAGTTTGTCAAGAGGTTGTTAATAGTTGCACATTATCGTTATTGTTATTGATGAATCATAGGTAGATAAAAGCTTTGTTTACGAAGTTAATTTCTTGGCAAAAAGTTTAATTAATCCACTCTCATAGGTTTAGGATGAAGTCATTTTCAAAAATTCTTTTTATTTTATAAATGATAGAGTAGAGAATGTAACACTTTGCAAATTGTCCGTCATGATTCTTATATGACATATATTTGTCATACAATAAAATGGTTATTATGTACTTGCAGACCGATAGGAATAAATGCTTAATGACGCCCCAAATTATTTGCGACTCTAAATATACCGTATTTTCAAGTCACTTATAAGAGTTTACGTGTACAACTAGTCACGCCATATAATACAATAAATTTGGTTTATTTCCAACGAATATGTTATAAAGACGAAACACTGGCCTCAGCGATGAATTCTGAATCCACATATTTTTCGTAACTGTTTTCTGTCTCAAGCAGTAAAGCTCATACGGAGCGTCTTTGAGAGCGTTTTTAGAAATTCTTTGGATGTACACAAGAGAGAACTAAATTGTGAATAGTTCTGACCTTATTTGAATACGAGTACGTCGTATAGAGAGTGAAGAACGCGCACGTTAAACAATTAAATTATAATTTAGATTCAGTCGCAAAAGCAATCACCGAAATAAGGCCGGTGAGCTGAAGCTTGCCTTTTAAATCAAGTGTATCGATTCAATTTTCTAATCCCCCAACTGCAACCATATGACATAATAATAATTGGTATCATGATAATTACATAATTTACTTTAATTGCAGATATACTTAAATGATACTATGTCGAAAACAATGTCACGTGCTGTACACTTATCGATATCAGTTTTTCTATTAATTAAAAATAACAGATATTCATATCACAATTACAATATATTTATAAGCATAAAAATTACTTGATTTCATAGCAACAGTAATTATAATGAAAATAATATATTGTTATTCAACATCTTGTTTTGCCTTTTTGCTTGAATATAGCTTATTTAATTCTTGAGCCTTACGTTTTAACTTAGATCTATCATCATACTCTAAAACATAAATCTTATTTTGTGCCTTAATACGTGGGGCGGTTGAAGAGTTTTGGTCGTCTAATTTTTACTCAAAAAGGAAATTTTGTAAAAAATTTTTAAGCCAATAAAAATAAAGTGCGAGTTCGGAGCTTCTCTTGAAAAAAAAACTCTATTGCAATTAGTTTGTTAGTTTGTGAGAAAATTAATTTCAAAAACCTGATATCAAAACCAAT